TAAAGATGTCACATTCCCAACACCAAGTCAGTTTCTTGTTTTTGGAAAGTGGTTAATGCAGGAGCAAAAGATGCAGTGGTTAAAATGACCCAACATCCCCAGAAGAAATGATATGAAGAACAAGGACATTTTGGTATAAAGTTAGTAGTCAAATTCTCCAAGGACGTCTTTTGTTTTTGCTTTTTAAATTGACAGCCAAATATATTTTTTAAACCACCTCCTTGATCTAACACTTAAATTGCCGACATTGTCCAAATTAGTGTAATTTTTTTTCCTGTAACGTCACTTGGTTCTTGGCTACTAACCTTTCATGTTACTCTTGGATTTGTCAGTTTGCTTGCCTGTGGGGGTTTGGGCCTGCTGCCCCTGCCCACTGGAAGAGGCTGCCTGCTGTGCTGCTTTCTGCTTTAACATTGTCCAGTCGAATGTGTAGTCATATTGGTGGTTCAAGGTCCTAGAAAAGAGTGAAATACTTTACTGTAACACAACATAACTTCCTCATTGCTAATACAAAACCTTTGCTGAAAACCCAGAACTAGAGGTTAACTCTTTTTGTAAGCTGCTTTGGAGATTATGAATAGTATATAAATGCTAAGTATTACTAACTTAAAGGGATTCTTGAAGTAAGCCCAAATACCATCACGCAGCGTTTTCTTCACTGTTTACGCAAAAGTCTGCATTTGTAGAAGCAGCACTTCCTCACAACCCAGCTTACCCACTTGTCTGCACTGAGGTTCTCAGCTTTTTTTTTTTTTTAAAATATATATAGTTTTAAGGAGAGACTGCAGTATTGTAGATCATCGAATAAAAATTGCTTTGAATTCCAGAATCTTGGAGGGAGACTCTTGAGAGATCAGTACCAGCTCTTCTTTTGACAGATGCTGTTCACTCCACAAGGTTGAGTTTATGTTCTGGTTTCTCCAACAAGCTCAATGAAACAGCACTATTCCCCTCCACTGAAATCCACCTCCTGGGCACCACTGTTAGTCCCATCACCAATCTCCAAACATAAAAAGCTCCAAACACTTCTACCAAGGGGTCAATTTCTTAAGCTACTTGCAACAGGACTTGAAACATGGGCTCAACCCTCTAGCATTAGTAGTCAGATCATGCAACGCAAAAACAAGAGAATCTTTTCCATCATGTTTAACATTGAACAATATTTTTCAGGTCCTTTAAACAGCTTTTCAAACTCTGAAATGAAAAAAAAGTCCTAGGAGAACTCCCTACACCATACACACATGGAGCAGCTTTCTGTAGTGCAAGTCCCACAGAGCAGTTACCAGCTGGTAAAGCACTGACAAATTTCTGTACTTTTCCACTTTGAGACTGACCTGAAAAGAATACGGAATAATTGCCTCAGATACATGTAATCTGGTGCCTCTTCAAAGCGCAGGCCACGACAGTAGTTCAGATACATGGCAAATTCTGCAGGAAATCCCTGTAAATCAACAATGTTAATCAAGCCATGGCTTGCAGCAAAAAGCTTCTAACAACCCTATAAGAAGGCAAAAAGCTGTACTTCCGTCTGTAACGGCAGAGAAAAACTGGCTGAAGATTCGTAAGTGTAAATTCCACTTTGCCTCTAGTTATCCATTTATTCTATATTTCAGAAAGTGGATTTCATCAGCAAGTTACCAGATCCTTCGCCAGAATTGTTACCTGATGCATGTTTTGCAATCACAAGTCCTCTGCTACCAAAACCTTCAACATACAACGTATTTAAAGCACTTAATTCATCCTAATTAAACCTAGTTCTTATTAACTAGGTCTCTGAAATAAGTAGTAATTGTCTCAAAAGATTCCACTCGTTTCCTTGATAATTTACTTGAGCAGACTAGAGGCAAGGTCAGTTACCAGTATTAAGTGTGAAGACTTAAACCATGAAAACGTCTTTCAAAGATACCCTGCTTCACATATTTATACATTTGATGCTACATTAAAGCCTACATGTAAACAGGTAATAGCGTATAGTTCTGTACTACAAGAAAGAAAACACAGGGTATAACAGTTCAGCAGTTTGGAAGATGCTGTCACACTGTAAAGGTATATAAATGTGCATGACTAGAAAGTGCAATCCTTGGTGCTGCTGTTTGATGTGCAAGAACCACCATGTGTTCTCAAGGACCTTTGTTAACAAGCGCGTGGCTGCCACAGTTCAAGAGAAATCTTAAGACGCAAAGGATAGCATTGGAAAAACATCATTCTGCGACATGGCTTTAAAGATCACTTGACATCCAATTCCACTACAGCATCTATTTGAGATACAGAAGATAACATGAACAATCTTGAGGAGGCAGAAACAAGTACACATGGGCAAGCTATACAGCTCTACCTTGGTTTTATTTATCCAAGAGGGCACATGTAGAACTTTCACTGTAGAAGTTTAAGAAATGAACGAGCCCCACCTGAGAGAGCTGGAGAGCGTGCACAGCCGATAGTCACCACAACTGGAATGATGGTGGCACAAACTATGCCAAGAAATGGCAGCGAACACACGCCCTGTTACATTCAGTCTTGCTGGGTGGCCAAACACAAGGCATCCATGACTGCCAGAGAAGCATTATTCAGCAGCAAATGCCATGTGAGACCATCTAATATATTGGCTCTAGTTTTTTTTAAAAAAAAAAAAGACAGAAAAGAACTTCCATTTCACAGTATGACATCATTTGTAAACTCTTACCTTACACAAAACCTCAACAGGAGTGGACATTTTCTTTTCACTAATCTTTTCATACTTTTGCTTCTTTGTTGCAGCCTGTGGAACATGTAGGTCATAATATAAGAGATATTGTGCAACACTGGATTAACAAGGACAGTAGCAAAAAAAATGACAAAAATCCTTTGGTCTACCATAAGTATTTTATACGAAATCTCCAAGTCCCACACACTTATTGCGAAGAGAATGAAGGTCAATCTGGTATTAAGATTTGGACACAGTTTAATACCATTTGTCGCAGTCTAATGCTTCCATCACATGGCACAGCTCGTGTAGTTCTAGCTGCTGCTTTTGTCCATTAAACAGACCAGACTTGCATTTACATTTGCCAAAGTTCTATTAATTCCCACTCAGTACCCCATTCAAGGGCTGCCTGCGTGTTTCAGAAAGCAGCCATTACATTCATCTGCAGCTGAAGAGTTCTAGTGTTTCACAAGCTGCTTGCCTTTTTAGAAAACTTGCAGCTGCAACGCCATTTGAGTTACACAACTCTCACATGGAGGAAGAAAAACAATTAAAACATGAAAACAAATCACTGAAGTCTATATAACAGAAATAAGAAATATTTGCCATGCTTGTACTTGGCTGCCATACATGAAAATACTTGAAACAAGTCTGTTGCAGCCAATAATTATTCAGTCGTGTCAAACTGGACTGAAGATATCACTAAAGCTGAACTTGCTAGGCGAGAGATTATTTCCATGCTCTCTACAGCAATTCAAAAAGCCACTAACAATGTTATTTTCTACTTCCCAAAAAGGGCCTCAGCCTACAACAGGACAATAATAATTTGCAAAGATGACATAAGCTATTGTTTAGCATAAATTTTAAGACAATCAAACAATAAACATTTTGCCTGCTGCACAAGAAGCAGAAAGAACCTTTCTTCTACATTCTATAAATATCATGCTTTGGGAAAAGCAGCTGTGTATAACTGAAGCTAAACATTATATACAACCACCTATCCAGACCAGTAGGCAGAAGCACGATACCCAAACATGAAAAAGCAAGGAAGGGTGGGGTAAAAAAAAAAAAAAGCCAACATAACCTACCTTTAATCCTTGCCAAGGCAGACTGGTTCTGTTAAAGTACATCAATACATAGCCTAGAGACTCCATGTCATCCCGACGACTGGAGAAAGAGGAAGAACACAATGAATTACAAAGTTTGGCATTTCATACTTTATTCCAAATAGTGCAAGCATTCCAAAATTTAAAAAAAAAAAAAATAATTAAGGAATAAAACCTAAGCTTTGGTGCAAAGGAAGGTCTCTTTCTAATACAGCTAAGGCATCTAGGTGTTCAGGATTCCACTGGCAGGCATGTAACAAGTCTTCACAAGCAGGAGATCCTATTCATTTTTCAAGCAAGGAATAGTCAGTAGGTATTGTGTGTGGTAAGTTTCCATCTGCAGTTACATTAGAATAATTTGGGAAACAAAAACTTTGGAAAATAAAAAGTGAAACATTAGATGTCTTTCCCATTTAATTAAGTAGCTTGGATAGAAACTAAAGTTTTACCTGTAGGAACCATGGAATGCATTGTAAGAGAGATACATGATGTTAGCCTTAACTTCATTAAGGAAGATTTTTCCCTGAACCTTGCCTCAGTCTGGGACCAATACTGAACATCTAGCCCCAAAAGGGCATAACTCTTTTCTTTCTTCAATTCTGTTAGAAAACCCTGAATTGTCTCTGTGATTTCTAAAAGACAAGCAATATTTAGGAACATGCATGCATCAATCTGAGAGGTGCCTCTGCTTTCTTCCCACAAGAAGTCTGTTTCAAGGCAGCTAGAGAACTCCAAAGTTATCCATCCATAGACTTCACTGAGAATTTGCACGCAAACTTTCATGTAAAAGGCTTCAAATGTTTTCTGTACTGCATATGCTCCAGATCCACACTTCAGCCACATGAACACCATCATACTTTGCTACACAGCTTTCATGATTACTAAGGCTAGTACAGTTCACTGAAGTGGAAAAAACACTCCATGATTTTTTTTCCTCTTGGCAAAGTTGCCTCTTCCCAGCTGTGGTCAAATCAGATTTTTCCTCTGACTGCCCCTGTGCAGCTGACTTGTATTTAATATGAGACAGAAAAAGAACTTATTTTTCTCCTCCCAGCCCCCTTATCAAGAGAACCTGACAGGTAATGCTGCTGCTTTGCCACCCAGGCAAGAAAAAGCATTTAAATGGTGGCAGGAAAGACTATGCACCTACTATCCCCACAAGGGAGCAAAACGCTGAGAGCGGTATTGCAAACAGGATTATACAGATGGGTGAGGGTAAAACAGCTCCTTTTACATGAGAACAATCGGTAAGAACCTGGACAGATCTACCTCTAGATCCTGGTATAAGAGGAAAGAAGTTGTAGGTGATGATTTATGTTACAGCCAACCCAATATAACCACTAATAATCAGCAGAATGGCCTGCCTGTCACCCCCTCAACTCGTGTTCCAGCTCTCTGACCCTTTGGGGAACCAGTTCAGGGAGCTATCCCAGAAGAAAATCAGCTTGGCTCCCTAAACCATTTCACCACAAGGCCAAAAAAGCACTAGCTGTGCTCAGAGGTTAGGGAAGAGAAGATTGGTTCACTCCCCTTGACAGCAGCTAGCTCTGAGGTCATCTCAGCTGCAACATGAAACCACAGCCAAAGACAGAGGGATGAAAAATGATACTAAGACCACGAGCTCCAGTCTGCAAAACTTGCTAATTCTATTAGAATTGCAGATTTTAATCATCAACAGGATTCAGTGAACCAGTATGTGGCCATTACATAAAATTACATTTTCTGAGAAGGCAGTGGTAAATTCAGAAGCAATAAAGAGATTAATAGTTTCCATCCCCCATCCAGTTCATTGGTTTAATGTTTAGTTTCATTATTTTGTAGTAGAAAACATTTAGTTCTGTAAATCTGTAATGGATATATTACATTTGAGCATATACTGATAAAAGTGATTTTCAGGATTTGGAAAACAGGACAATACTCTCCATTACTAAAACAAGAAATGGATAACATTGCAAACAGCTCCTTGAGAACAGCTGTCATCACATATAGGAAAATATGTTCTGTAACAGTTAAAGTACAGCACTAACAGTTGAAATACTCTGCCATAAGCTTCAGGACTGGTTTCTCTTCATTACAGAAATATATTGTTTGCCTCACTGTTGGCTTGATCTAGACAGTTTAACAGCTTTTTACCATGCACCAAGCTACATTTCTAGTTATATTAGAATTCCCAGTACTAGCAGAGACGGTACAAGACCTCCAACCAAATTCAAAAGCAATAGTCCTTTGCAGTTCCCTTCCTTCACTGTAAGGTGCTAGCACAGCTATTCCCTTACAAGAACGGCTTGGGTTCTGTGAAATGTACTTACTTCAGAAATGACACCTGTCATTTACCCTACTTGACCCACATGTCAAGTAGGCTTAAATAATGACACTGACAGACAATAAAATACACTTAAGGAACCTTAAGGAAATTAAAGCAAAGAGGAAACACGGAGCATTTTGAAGCACCAAATATTTGTAAGTTACATGTTCTGTTGAAGTTAACCACTAGAAATTCTGTCATTTCCATCTTGATTGAATTGAAGGTGAGAGGCACAGACATTCATGGAAGTTTTAACTATGTCTAAGCGACCTCAGCATTATGTGGTAAAGCCACACTATTATACTTATACATTACAATATCTAGGCATATAGGTAAGGAAGAGATGAAAGGCATCACTTCATGAGTACCTAACATACACTTCCAAACAACCTAAAGTGCTATCTCCTCTGGACCACTGCTAGAATACTGTAATTGCAATATGCTTTTGATCCAGATGATAAAAATGTGTTTGTTGATTAAGCAAAGCTCAAAAATATAAATATATATACACACACACATACATGTGTACATATATACATACAGAGCCACAACTACGGTTGCGTGTACCAGAAACCAAAATACAGTGTGAGTGAAGTAGAAGATCTTTAAGTCTTGCTTGCAGGCAAAAGGATAAACAATAGTTTACTAACTTGAAGGGAGAGTGAGAAAACAGGACACAGACACCAGCTTTAGAATACCCTTTCTGGCTACAGAAGGGTAGCCAGTCAGCAGTGGCATCAACAGGTACCAACACAATCAGGAAAGTGAACCATTTTATTTGTGAAGGTCCTCTTACAGATCCACATGAAAATGTATCTTATCCTTTAAAAAAAACCAAAACAGTATGCAGAACATCCACCTCATGCCTGCAAGACTTAGACTCTCTTCAAGAAGCAAATTAGGTGCTTGGATTTTTTTTCCCCTACCCTTGCATAGGCAGCCAAAAAGAAAAGCACTTGCAAAGGGATATATACTTATTCATATAAAATTAGTTCAGACACTTCAGAAGCTTACAAATAAAATAATCTTGCAGCCTCCAAAAGCACAGCAGTAATCTCCTTGAACTCACCTCTGCTCAATGCCAAGATGTGCATTGATACTGGCATATCGAGCTGTGCCAGTGAGATTTTTGTCTTCTCTGTATGGTATGTGTTGTCTTGTCCTGTTGTCCCGGTACTTTTTGGCCAAACCAAAGTCAATAAGGAATAACTTAAAGAAAAATGAAAATAGATTATATTCCTATACAGCAAGGAATCCCCAACCTCTTTCACTAGGCATTAGCTACGTTTTAAGACATCTACACAATATAACAGCCTACAGTTAAGAGGAAGCAAAGTAACAGTGCAGAGTCGCAACTAGCTTTAACTAGCCAGTTCAAAAACTTAATAGGGAATTAGTTCAAGCCTTTTCTCAATCCAGTGGAATAGATTAGATTGTGCTACTCAGCATCTGTAGCTTAGTTCTACAACTATTTTATGTTACTATTGTAGTTTGTATCCCAATAGCTCAATAGGTACAGCGCACAATTTAGGAAGGAAACTAGTATGTGCAAAAGCACACTTCACAAAACCCCATTCACACTAGAGCAGTTTACACATACAGATAGTTAATGGCAGCTCAGCAGCTTAATGCAGATGATGCACATCCTGTATCCTTCTCTATGTCTCAAAGAACACTGGCCGTTCTGCAGAGCATAAGGCCAAAACCTTCAACAGCAAACAAAACATCTTGCTTTCAATCATATGCTCATTTTAAGACTACCAGAACGCTATCACAGCAGCATGACACACTTGCTGATGATATTAATACAGCCAGAAAGCTAGAGCCTAGCACATGGAATCCAATTTAGGTTTCTAATAACCAAGCTTGCCCAATGATTTGGTATTTAGCAACAACTGAGTGCATGCTAATTAGTATGCTAACAGCCAGCCTATCTACAAAGGTTAATACAGACTGTACCTTCCTGTGACAAGATTTCAGGACTAGGCAAAAAAGGCTGAGGTAGAAGTACGTAAGGAACATTTCAAATTGTAGCAATCAGTCTTCAAGCTACAAGTCATCAGGCTGAGCTCCTGGATCAGGGACTATAACCCCTACAGATTAATGAATACTTCAAAAGTAACTTGGGTGGGGGAAGGAGATGATGGAAAGCCGACATAAGGTTCAAGAAATTCTCAGTAAAAACCTATTCAGTATCACCTTAAAGGTGATTCCAGAACAGAAGATGCAGCTTTAAATGCAAACAAGTACTGGAGATTTATATGCAGGTATACCTGCATCCAAGACTGAAACAAAGGGTCACTCTGGCACACTGAGGTGCTGTGAATTACAAAGTGACACTTGACATAGAAGCATCAAAGATGCTGAAAGACCCAAAAGTTACTGAATTGCACGGTAGGTATGTTTTAGAATTCTGGTAGAAGAAGATTTTCTAACTATAGTAATCTAGACAGGAAACAACAAAGCTAAAAACCTCTTAAAGTACTGATGTCGGAGCAGAAAACCTTGAGTCAAAGTCTTGCCGTGATTTATACGCAACCACAAAGCACAGCAGTTCTACATTTGCTGTTCTAGTGAAAGTCACCCTGAAAGCCCAGAATGCTTTGAGCAAAAGGACATAAAACCAAGTTTTTAAATCAATTACACTGGTCAGATAGTTCAGGAAAGTGGGGGTCTCGTCTTTGTTGCACCCGCCACAGCTACCACTAGAGGTAGTTATTCACTTAGTGAGCATGGGCATGTTCTCCAGCTACCAAGAAATTAGCTATTTTGATACTAAACTCCTAAAGCAGAGAGTATAAAGCTTCTATGTGATTACTATACTGCAAATGTAACCTTCCTAGAAGCAAAGCCTGAGTTCAAACGTAATCCCTTATTTTCCGATTAAAGTATTCTGATCTGATGACAGCCTCTGATGTATAGTTTGCAATAGCTACTTTTGCAGGGCCTTTGCCCATTAGTTTAAGCCTTGAGAAGGAGGGAAAACCAAACACTATACATATCAGTTAGAATGTTTTCACTGCACATTTAGTTACAACACTTTAAACAATTCAAAGTCTTCACGTGCTTTCTGTAATCCCAGGGATCTTGCCATTAATTAATGGTATGAAGGGGCAAAGTCACAGTTCATGAATCAATACAGTTAACACTGGAAGTGTACCTCTAATACACAAATAGCTGGTGTCTAGCCCTGTTTAGCACAGACATGGTAAGACTACTTTCTTCGAAAGAGTTATAAAAGTAAATGATGCTCTGCCTTTTCCACTGCTGCTATGAGCTCTCAATATTAGACATGAACGAGGTAATTCTGCATTCTCTCAAGAGGTATGGGTAGACCCTCTTAAAAAAAAAAAAGGAATCAATTCAGCAACACAGACCTGTTTTACACTAGTCAAGTAACTGGATATTATTTTACAGCACTGATTTCTCTGGGGAAGTTTACTCTGTTCCCTAGCTTAGGCTCATTCTGTATTTCCCATTCTAGATGGGTAGAAGGCAAAGGAGTAAGTCCATCTTGCAAAGAGTTAAGCTGGAAGATACAGCCTGATTTGGATGAGCACAGAATGTACCAGTACCAGCCAGCAGGAACACAGACGTATTCCCACAGATAACCTC